TGTGCTTGCCTCCACTAAATAAAAAAATATAAAGTATAAAGACTATTAGACTAAACTGAATACAGGAACCGCGGCCGCTTACTGCTGCTCTAGGTAGGGGATATTGAATGAATTGGCTAGTCTCAAGTTCCAGAATATTGTTACCCCATATCCGATCTTACAAGCATGCACATAGACTTGTAATATGTAAGACTAGTACGTGAGCGCTCGCTAGCTTTCCAGTAGCTATTGATATCTGTGGTAGATAATTATGTACATTCGTATAAATTACGGACTATTGTTTAGGTCGTACTGCACGCCTGAACCGATGCTCGCGCATGCGCACTATCTCCCGAGAAGAAGAATATTTTCCAAAAATTATAAATTTAAAATGAAGAGGAGTCATCCTAGCATAGATTTATAAGATAAAATTCCATTAGTAGACCTCAATTCAGAAATAGGAAGCAGACCTTGCATGTAAGGTCCCCGCTGCATATACCATTAAGTACATAACCTGGCTATGTTACAGTTTTAGCGCATGCGCAATATCTTACCAGAGGAGTTTTATTTTGTGATGAAAACGCATTTAGTATGGTCAGGCGATATCTCAACATGGGATTCTGTAATATATCCTTATCAGTAGACCTGTGTTCATAGTTAGGAGAGCGCCCTAGCCTGTATGGTGCAATTACCGCATGCGCAATATCTCAACAGAAGAGTTTTATTTTGTGATGAAAACGCATTTAGTATGGTCAGGGGATATCCGCTACTTTATCCCCGCGCACGCGTAATATCTCCCGAGCAGAAGAATATTTTCAATTATTATAAATTTAAAATGAAGAGGGGTTATCCTAGCATATATTTATATGATAAAATTTCATCAGTATACCTTACTTCAGAAATAGGAAGCAGACCTTGCATGTAAAGTCTCCGCTGCATATACGGCTATATACATAAGCTGGCTACGTTACAGTTTTAGCGCATGTGCAATATCTCACCAGAGCAGTTTTATTTTGTAATGAAAACGCATTTATATTTTTAGTATGGTCAGGGGATATCTCAACATGGGATTCTGTAATAAATTCTTATCAGTAGCCCTGTGTTTATAGTTAGGAGAGCGCCCTAGCCTGTAGGGTGCAAAACTCCTACTTTATCCCCGCCTGCCCTTCCCATTGTCTCCATTGTCGCACGCTCAGCCTCCGTTTCCTTCCACCGCCTCTCGACTGTCTTCCCTGCACCTTCGCTCAGTTTCCCACCCCTCTCTCCCTCAGCAAGCTATATTTACGTACCTTTCCTTTGGCCGTACCTACTGCACGTCTGAAACGGTGCTCGCGCCTGCGCAATATCTCTCGAAAAGAAGAATTTTTTGCCAACATTATAATTTTAAAATGAAGAAGGGTGATCCTAGCATAGATTTATATGATAAAATTTTATCAGTAGACCTCACTTCAGAAATAGGAAGCAGACCTTGCATGTAAGAACCCCGCTATATATACCATTCCGTACATAACCTGGCTATATGTTACTGTTTCAGCGCATGCGCAATATCTCACCAGAGGAGTTAGATTTTGTGATTAAAATGCATTTAGTATGGTCAGGGGTATCTCAGCAGAGGTTTCTGTAATAAATTCTTATCAGTAGCCCTGTGTTTATAGTTAGGAGAGCGCCCTAACCTGTAGGGTGCAAAACTCCTACTTTATCCCCGCCCGCTCTTCCCTTTGTCTCCATTGTCCCACTTTCAGCCTTCTTCTCCTTCCACCGCCCCTCGACTGTCTTTCCTGCACCTTCGCTCCCTTTCCCACCCCTCTCTCCCTTAGCAAGCTATATTTACGTACTTTTCCTTTGGTCGTACTGCACGTCTGAAACGGTGCTCGCGCATGCGCTATATCTCCCGAGAAGAAGAATTTTTTGCCAACATTATGAATTTAAAATGAAGAGGGGTTATCCTAGCATAGATCTATATAATAAAATTTTATCAATTCAGAAATAGGAAGCAGACCTTGCATGTAAGGTCCCCGCAGAATATACCATTAAGTACGTAACCTATCTACGTTACTGTTTTAGCGCATGAGCAGTATCTCACCAGAGGAGTTTTATTTTGTGATGAAAACGCATTTAGTATGGTCAGGGGGTATCTCAGCATCGATTTCTGTAATAAATTCTTATGATTAAACTGAATATGGGGGTGGGTCCGAAGTGAAATGTTGCAAAATGCACTGCTATTGTCAAAAACTGCTATTGTGTATTCTCCTTTATATTGACTCTTGTTTCAAACTGTACTGCATATTCAGCTGTACTGCACATCCCCCAATTGCATAATCATTGCAAATGGGACTCCATTGTGAAGGGAAATGAACAGGCTTTCCAATGATACCAAATGCAATAATAATAATGCAGGTACAACAGAGATATTATCGATCAAACCTGAATTTTCGAACTTTTTTAGGAGTGTAGGTCTACAGGAAAATTCTCCAAAATCAAAAAACCCTTCAGCAGTATACGGGTTAAGAGATACAGGGTCAATGGGATATTGAATGGATTGGCTAGTCTCAAGTTCCAGAATATTGTTACCCCATATCCGATCTTACAAGCATGCACATAGACTTGTAATATGTAAGAATAGTACGCGAGCGCTCGCTAGCTTTCCAGTAGCTATTGATATCTGTGGTAGATAATTATGTACATTCGTATAAATTACGGACTATTGGTTAGGTCGTACTGCACGCCTGAACCGATGCTCGCGCATGCGCACTATCTCCCGAGAAAAAAAATATTTTCCAAAAATTATGAATTTAAAATGAAGAGGAGTCATCCTAGCATAGATTTATAAGATAACATTCCATTATTAGACCTCAATTCAGAAATAGGAAGCAGACCTTGCATGTAAGGTCCCCGCTGCATATACCATTAAGTAGGCTACATAACTCGGCTATGTTACAGTTTTAGCGCATGCGCAATATCTCACCAGAGGAGTTTTATTTTGGGATGAAAACGCATTTAGTATGATCAGGCGATATCTCAACATGGGATTCTGTAATAAATCCTTATCAGTAGACCTGTGTTCATAGTTAGGAGAGTGCCCTAGCCTGTAGGGTGCAAAACCGCTACTTCATCCTCGCCCGCCCTTCCCCTGGGCTTCTTTGTCGCATGCTCAGCGTATTTCTTCTTCCACCGCCTTCAGCTATTTTCCCTATCGCCTTCTTTCCGTCTCGCACCCTTCTCTACCTCCGCAAGCTATATTACCTACTTTTATTTAGGATGCTGCAAGCCTGAAACGGTGCTCGCGCATGCACAATATTTCCCGAGAAGAATAATATTTTGCAAAAATTATGAATTTAAAATGAAGAGGGGTCATCCTAGCATAGATTTATACGATACAATTTTATCAGTAGACCTCACTTCTGAAATAGGAAGCAGACCTTGCATGTAAAGTCTCCGCTGCATATACCATTAAGTAAATAAGCTGGATACGTTACAGTTTTAGCGCATGTCCAATATCTCACCAGAGGAGTTTTATTTTGTGATGAAAATGCATTTAGTATGGTTAAAGGATATCTCAGCATGGGATGCTGTAATACATTTTTATCAGTAGACCTGTGTTTATAGTTAGGAGAGCGCCCTAGCCTGTAGGGTGCAAAACTCCTACTTTGTCTCCGCCCGCCCTTCCCATTATCTCCATTGTCGCACGCTCAGCCTCCTTCTCCTTCCACCGCTCCTCGACTGTCTTTCCTGCACCTTTGCTCAGTTTCCCACCCCTCTCTCCCTCAGCAAGCTATATTTACGTACCTTTCCTTTGGCCGTACCGCACGTCTGAAACGGTGCTCGCGCATGCGCAATATCTCCCGAGAAGAAGAATATTTTGCCATCATTATGAATTTAAAATGAAGAGGGGTTATCCTAGCATAGATCTCTATAATAAAATTTTATCAATAGACTTTACTTGAGAAGTAGGAAGCAGACCTTGCATGTAAGGTCCCCGCTGCATATACCATTAAGTACATAACCTGGTTACGTTACAGTTTTAGCGCATGCGCAATATCTCAACAGAGGAGTTTTATTTTGTGATGAAAACGCATTTAGTATGGGCAGGGGATATCGTAACATAGATTTCTGTAATAAATTCTTACCAGTAGACCTGTGTTTGTAGTTAGGAGAGCGCCCTAGCCTGTAGTGTGCAAAACCGCTACTTTATCCCCGCCCGCCCTTCCCTTTGTCTCCATTGTCGCACGCTCACGTGCAGCCTTCTTCTCTTTTCACCGCCCCTCGACTGTCTTCCCTACACCTTTCCTCAGTTTTCCACCCCTCTCTCCCTCAGCAAGCTATGTTTACGTACCTTTTTTTTTGGCCGTACTGCACGTCTGAAACGGTGCTCGCGCATGCGCAATATCTCTATTATATTGATATATATACGTATATATATACGTAACCTGGCTACGTTACTGTTTTAGCGCATGAGCAGTATCTCACCAGAGGATTACCAGAGGAATTTTATTTTGTGATGAAAACGCATTTAGTATGGTCAGGGGATATCTCAACATGGGATTCTGTAATAAATTCTTATCAGTAGACCTGTGTTTATAGTTAGGAGAGCGCCCTAGCCTGTGGGATGCCAGACTCCTACTTTATCTCCGCCCGCCCTTCCCTTTGTCCCCATTGTCGCACGCTCAGCCTACTTCTCCTCTCTTCGCCCTCGACTGTCTACTCTGCCACCTTCGCTCAGTTTCCCACCCCTCTCTCCCTCAGCAAGCTATATTTACGTATTTTTCCCTTTGGCCGTACTGCACGTCTGAAACGGTGCTCGCGCATGTGCAATATCTGCCGAGAAGAAGAATATTTTGCAAACATGATTTTAAAATGAAGAGGGGTCATTCTAGCATAGATTTATATAATACAATTCAAACATTAGACCTCAATTCAGAAATAGGAAGCAGACCTTGCATGTAAGGTCACCGCAGCATATACCATTAAGTACGTAACATATCTACGTTACTGTTTTAGCGCATGAGCAGTATCTCACCAGAGGAGTTTTATTTTGTGATGAAAACGCATTTAGTATGGTTAGGGGGTATCTCAGCATCGATTTCTGTAATAAATTCTTATCATTAAACTGAATATGGGGGTGGGTCTGAAGTGAAATGTTACAAAATGCACTGCTATTGTCAAAAGTGTA